CTCATCACTGATGCAGCAGGACATCATGGCTGAACGTCAGGAACCTCAGCTTACAACCCCAGCCCTAGCTAACCAGACGTTCCAACCTGGAGCTAAGCGGGCTCCAAGCAGAGCACTCACCAAATCAGATACTTATCTCAGTGATAGCAGTGGCTTCTCTGCTTCCAGCTGGCACCCATTACTTTGCACTCATCAAGCTTCAGGCTTGCTGCTCTCTCTCCATGTCCATCACATGTCGGGGGGAGGCTTGGACAGCTGACCCCCTATTTCCTTGCTCCTTAACCCAGCACAAGAGTGAACAACAAACCAGTAAGCATCTCAGTCGGCAATATCATGAAACCTTTTCTTCCTATACATAACACAACACGGGGCTTCTTCCCATATCTGGTGCAACGGTATCAGAGCCAGCAGCGCAAGATGGCACATGGGAGCCAGTTTAAAAACCAGCTCCCTGTGCAGACCAACTCCCTCCTGCCACCCCATCCACGGGACAGGGGCTGATTCTGCAGACAGAGGCTGCTTCGCTTTTCTCCTTAAGTCTTAGCAATGGTTAGTCTTAGGAAGTCACAACCTCACTAATGGTAGGGACTGGCCAGGTAACTTCCCATGCAAAAGTGGTGATCTTTGAAACAAAAGGAAACTAGCAATTCTTTGTCTGGCTGGACACACCCAAAGGTAGAAACCCAAGACCCCAGGGTGTGGAGCTGCCCGGGGAGCTCAGCTGGGAAAATAAACAGTTTTAAGATGCGTGAGTTTGTAATAAGTTTGTACGGAGGTTTTAGTGTTAGAATTAGCTAAGTGTTTTCTGTTATTTTAAGTTTATAATCTACATTGCTCTGCCTTGTCTCACTTCTTACCTCTTAAATCCTACCGCTTGTCCTTAAGAAAATCACTTTTATTTACTATCAAGTCCAGTGTAAATAACTGTTACCTGGGGGAGCAATCAGTGTGTACATTCCCCCTTTAATTGCAAAAGGGGGCTTACATAAATAATTCATTTGGGGTTCAGTTCCCATTTGGGGAGTGGTATCCCAGGAAGCTGGGCCCAAAACTGCATTTTCCTTGGACCTGAAGAGTTTCAGTGTTTGTACTGCTTCTCAGGGTGGGAGGAAGGGGAGGGGAGGTGATAAGGAACAGTGATCTCAGCTCTGGTCCTTGGCTGGGGGAAACCAGGGAGCTGGCCCAGCAGGACAGAGCAGTAAGAAGCCCCAGAGAGCAGGAAAGCAAGTGGCAATGGCCTTGTCAGAACCCTGGGAAGCACCCTCAAGGGGTCTTCTGTGATAGCACCCTGTCACACAGGGTACACATGCATGGTGGTTCAGTAGAGCCTACTGACAACTATTACCAGGGCTTGCCAAGCAGCAGCAAGCCCCGCTCGCCAGCCGTGTGGTTCTGCGCTTTGCGCCGGCTCTTCCGGGTTGTAATCTACTTGTCACTGGCGAGTAGATTACATTAGTTATCAAGCCCTGACTATTACTGTACTTCACTTAACAATAAACCTGGCCAGGCACCTTCAATCCTTATCTGCAGGGCTCGCCAAGCTGTGTAAAGCCCCGCTCGTCAGCTGCACGGTTCGGCATTCGGCGCATGCACAGATTGCTCGGAGCCGGCTCTCCCGGGATGTAATCTACTCGCCAAGGGCAAGTAGATTACATTGTTTGTCGAGCCCTGCTTATCTGATTTGTGGTTTTGGGGGACTCTCTCGGAGTCTGCTCGACCAACTGTGCAAGTCAACACAGCACACATGATTGAGCAAACACACCTGCAGCCTTCTGGTTCTCATCACTGATGCAGCAGGACATCATGGCTGAACGTCAGGAACCTCAGCTTACAACCCCAGCCCTAGCTAACCAGACGTTCCAACCTGGAGCTAAGCGGGCTCCAAGCAGAGCACTCACCAAATCAGATACTTATCTCAGTGATAGCAGTGGCTTCTCTGCTTCCAGCTGGCACCCATTACTTTGCACTCATCAAGCTTCAGGCTTGCTGCTCTCTCTCCATGTCCATCACATGTCGGGGGGAGGCTTGGACAGCTGACCCCCTATTTCCTTGCTCCTTAACCCAGCACAAGAGTGAACAACAAACCAGTAAGCATCTCAGTCGGCAATATCATGAAACCTTTTCTTCCTATACATAACACAACACGGGGCTTCTTCCCATATCTGGTGCAACGGTATCAGAGCCAGCAGCGCAAGATGGCACATGGGAGCCAGTTTAAAAACCAGCTCCCTGTGCAGACCAACTCCCTCCTGCCACCCCATCCACGGGACAGGGGCTGATTCTGCAGACAGAGGCTGCTTCG